CCACAGCCTTGGGAGTTTCAGAATCTGGTGAGGGTAGGTTGCTTTTAACTAGGAACTCTTAGGCAGCCTTTGGGAAGAGCCCAAGATGGACCTGGAATCCAGAGGTGCACATTAGGAAGAAGGAAAATTCTTCTTACCCACCTGGAAAGAGAATGTGTGCTTTGTTCAGACTCCCTTTGTGGGGAAATGTTTTGCAAAAAAAATCAGATAAGCAACCATCGGCTGAGAAATCCTTTGGTCAGCTAGCACTCTTACTTTTGCTTTGTTTTGTTTCCTGTTTCCTGGTATGTTATTCTTCTGTAGTTCATTGATTCCAAGCATTTCTTGGAGCAGTAATTCATCAACAGCAATAAATATATTCATTCACTCCCATGTCACATAATAAAGCTGTCTTCCATGCACAGCCTCCCCTGCACCGCCCCCCCCCCCGTTCAGAAGTCAATTTATGGAGTTTCTTTTCTCCTGCCTAGAGCTGCTTAATTGATTGACTCTCTGCGACCTAACTGATTTCCCACTCTCCATACCTGAAATCAAGGGAGTATTTTTTTGTGCTATGATCCTTTACTTATCTCTCGCGGGAGAAGGGTTGCGTGAAGCACACACACACACACACACACATATTCTGCTTTCCACTACAGTGGTACCTCAGGTTAGGTATTTAATTTGTTCCAGAGGCCCGTTTTTAACCTGAAACTGTTCTTAACCTGAAGCACCACTTTAGCTAATGGGGCCTCCTGCTGCTGCCACGCTGCCGGAGCACGATTTCTGTTTTCATCCTGAAGCAAAGTTCTTAACCTGAAGCACTATTTCTGGGTTAGCAGAGTCTGTAACCTGAAGCGTATGTAACCCAAGGTACCACTGTATCTAGTTCTTAAAGCAATGTTCAATTATTTAAAAATATATGTGTCAAGGCTGCCTCAAGTCTCAGCTCACAAAAGACCAACGCCTATGTCTTCTTATATACAAAGGTGTTTATTGCAGTTCATTGTTTGCTTGACATCCTAGGCGCGCAGCCTTACGTCTCTTACGCTTAGACCGCTGAAGTCCCCTCTGAATCCGTCCCTCCCCTGCACCAATTTAAGAGGCTTGCGCTGCTCCACCTCTTTCTCTCCTTCCTTTTCCGCAGGGTCCTTCTGCCCGCTGGGGTTTCGCCCCTCCTGGATTCCTCTGACGCGGAATCAGACTGCTCTTGCCCCCTCCTGCGGGCTTTGGGACCTGGCCCCTCCTCCGGGCTCCCTGTACTTCCGCGCGCCTCTACATTTGAACTAGGCGCGCGCGCCAAACCTCTAACTTTCCTTTTGACAGTTACACTACTCCCTTCACTGCTCCCTCCCCTTCCGGGAGGGCGGCTTGCTCTGACCTCCCTCCTTTCTCTGCTGCCGGAGCTGCTTCCTCTGACACACTGGAAACTCCACCCCTTCGCTGCACTCTGGTGGGGAGGCTGGTCCTGACGCCCAGCTGCCACTTTGGGATCCTCCGCTGGCCCCCTGCTCCTGACACGTCCCCCCTGGGCTCCCCTGGCCTTGACCACCGGCGCCCCCTTCTGGGAATCCTCTGATTCGCTGGAAAGACTCATGGAATCTCTTGAGTCATTGTCATCCTCTTCCTCGCTGGCTTGGAATTCATCCCCATCGCTCTCCATCTCCTGCCTACCCTGTGCCTCTCTCCCTGAACCCCTGACATCCATCCCCCCTCGAAGCCCCCCTTCCCCCCTCCCGCTGCTCGGGCGCAGGTTCCGGGAGCTTCGTTGTAGCGGAGGTAGATGCTGGATACAGTTCGTCGACGTCGATCTCCTCTGCTTCCAGTTCAGTGTAGGAGTGCTCGAAACCGGGGTCCTCCCCAACACCTCCAAACCGTTCCCTCCCCTGTTACTTCAGGCGAAGCTGCTTGCCAAGGCCCCCTTCGCCACCCCACTTCTGGTTGATCGTCCCACCAATAAGAGCGGTCCGTGTCCACCCCGAGCACGATCCCCTTGGAGGGCTCGATTGCGGCGTGGTCTCCTCTGCGGAGGAGAACCCCCGGAAGGTGCTGCCTGAAAGTGTGGGGGTAAAAGCCAGTCGCCAAAATACTCCGCTGGCATGGGCCTGTGTGGGAAGAGTGCATGGAACTCGTCCTTAAGAAAAGGTTCCTCCAGAGCATAATCTGGCACCCAACTGTTGGCGCTGGCCGGGGTACCTTCCCTGGCGAGGAGGTATTCCACTCCCTCCTCCCCCCATCTCGAGTCCAGAATTTCCGTGACCTCGTTGAGTGTCGGGGTCCTCGGTGACTTCCCCCCCCCGGTGACTTTCTACGTGGGTCTGGTGCCGTCCCTGGCTCCTGAAATCTGTGTGGGGCCTTGTAGGGTGTAAGCACCGACCTATGAAAGACCGGGTGCATTCGGGAATCCTCTGGGAGGGTCAACCGAAAGCTACGGGATTGATCCTGCCCTCAACTTGGTATGGCCCTAGCTGTTTGTGTCCTAGCTTCTTCTTAGCTAACGACTTGGCCGGCACCGCCTGGGCTGCTAACCATACCCAGTCCCCCACCTGGATGTCTTCTCCTGCCCTCCTGTGCCTGTCTGCCTGCACTTTGTAGGCGTGTTTAGCTAGTTCCAAGTGCCGTCGTAGCTCCTCGTGGACCTCCTGCAATTCTGCTGCTAAATGTTCCGCTCCCTGCGACTCCCCTGCGTCGTTGTCTCCAACGCCGGGAAGGTTCTGGGATGTCGCCCATTGTTGGCGAAGAACGGTGTCACCCCGTTGACGCGTGCTTCGTGTTGTTGTAGGCAAACTCGGCCATCGGTAAGTAGTCCACCCAAGTTGCAGGCTTCTGATTGGCGTAACATCGCAGGTACTGCTGCATGATGGCGTTGACCCTCTCCGCTTGGCCGTTGGTTTGCGGGTGTCTCGCCCGACGCTAAGTTGATCTTGACATTCAGGATGCCCAGGAGCTTCTGCCAGAAACTGGAAATGAATTGGCGACCCCGGTCGGACAGGATGGACCGTGGTAAGCCGTGCACCCGGAACACGTGGTCTATGAACAGCTTGGCGGTCTGTTCCGCTGTTGCCACCTTCGCGCAAGGAATGAAGTGCGCCATCTTGGTGAACAGATCTACAACCACAAGCACCGCCGTCTTGCCCCGCGAACTGGGCAGATCAGTGACAAAGTCCAGCGCCACCCTTTCCCACGGCTGCAGTGGCGTCTCCAGCGGTTCCAGCAATCCCGCTGGCTTCTTGTGCACTGGCTTGGACCTCTGACAAGTGTCACACCTGGCGACGTAATCCGCGACCTCTCCCCGCATCTGGGGCCACCAAAAGTCTCTGGCTACTAAGTCCGCCGTCTTTTCCTTGCCGAAGTGACCCGCGCTGGGGGCGTCGTGTAACTGCTGTAAAACCTTCGCGCGGAGATCGTCTCCCGGGACGTAGAGAGCACCTTTGCGGGTCAGCAGGCCGTCGCGTATCTGGAATTCGCCGTCCTTTGCTGTCCCTCTTCGCACCTCCTCCATCTTGGATTGTGCGAACGGATCCGTCTGTAGCGCGCGTCGTACCGCGTCCAGGTCCACGGCGGCGGAAGCGCACGCCCACGCTTGCGGTGCGAAAATGTGCCTGGCTGCCACTGGTGCCGCTTCCTCGAGATACTGCGGTTTCCTGGAGAGCGCATCCGCTATGACGTTGTTGTCTCCCGGGATATACTCTATCCGGAAATCGAAATCCGCAAAGAACTCCGCCCATCTCATGTGCCTCTGGCTCTGGAGCTTCGCCGTGCGCCAATACTCTAGGTTCTTGTGGTCCGTGCGGACCTGCACGGTGTGCTTGGCTCCGATGAGGAAGTGCCGCCACGCCTTGAAAGCCGCGTGGATGGCCAACAACTCCCTGTCCCAGATGGTGTAGTTCTGTTCCGACTTGCTGAGCTTCCGGGAATAGAAAGCGCAGGGCCTCCAGTTCTCTTGCGAATCTTCCTGCAAGAGGACGGCCCCCACTGCTCTGTCAGATGCGTCAGTCTCAACCCGCATGGGCCTGCCGGGATTCACGTGTAGCAGCTGGTCTTCGGACGCGAAGAGACTCTTAAGTCTCCTGAAGGACTGCTCCGCCTGGTCCGTCCAGGTGAACTTTTTCTTCTTGGAACTGAGGGTGTCCGTGATAGCTGCCGTCTCTTTCGCGAAACCCCTGATGAACTTGCGGTAAAAGTTGGCGAAGCCGACGAACCTCTGGACCTCCTTCCGATTGCGCGGGCTATTCCAGTCCAACACCGCGCGGACCTTGGCGCTGTCCATGGCTAGTCCCTTGTCGGACAGCCGGTAGCCCAGGAAATCCACCTCCGTCACGTCGAACTGGCACTTCTCCAGCTTGGCGTAGAGTCTGTGCTCCCGTAGCCTCTGCAGGACCTCCTTTACGTCTCTTTCGTGAGTCTCCTGCGATTCCGAGAAGATCAGAATATCGTCGAGAAAGCATACGCACTTCTTGTAGAGGAGTCCTGCTAGCACGTGGTGCATGAATGCTTGAAAACAGTGGGAGCCACCTTGGAGACCAAACGGCATAACTCTGTATTCATAGGTGCCCAGCGGCGTGAACATGGCCGTCTTCCACTCGTCACCTTCCCTCATGCGTATTAGATTGTATGCTCCGCGTAGATCCAACTTGGTGAAGATCCTCCCCTCCTCACCGTCGCGAGCAGGTCGTCAATCTTGGGCATGGGGAAAGCCTTGGGTTTTGTCATCGAGTTTATGGCCCTATAGTCCACAATGAGCCGTTTTTGGGGCGTGTCCTTCTTCTTCACGAAAAACACAGGACTGCCCACCAATGCCTTGGATTCTCGGATGAATCCCCGCTTCAAATTGTGATCTATGAACTCCCTGAGCTCCTGCATCTCATCTTCAGACATGGAATACAGCTTCGCAGTCGGCAGCGTCGCCCCTGGTAAGAGGTCAATTGCACAGTCGTAGGGCCGGTGGGGTGGTAATTGGTCAGCTTCCTTCTCGCAGAAGACCTCCAAAACCCCTTGTACTTGTGGGGCACTGCCTGCACCATGCCTAGATGCAGCTGTTGCCCTTCCTCCTGGCCCTCCTCCTCCTGGCCGATCTGGATGCAATGTTGTGCGCAGTAGGACGAGCCAAAGGTGAGCTGCCGCTGGTACCACGCCAATGATGGGCTGTGTCTATCCAGCCAACTCATGCCTAACACTATGGGCGTGTCTGACAGTTGGGTGACATTGAAACTGATGACCTCGCGATGATTCCCAATTTTCAGCAGCATGGGTGGCGTCTGTTGTACCACTTGCCCACCCAGCAACTTCCTGCCATCTACAGTGACCACATTCAGAGGCAGCGTGGCTGGTAGTAGCGCTATGCGATGCTGCTTGATGAACTGCACCCCCACGAAGTCTGCGTTGCTCCCTGAGTCAATCGTAATGGGGACTTCCAGGGTGAGTCCATTAGGCAGCTGGAGAGTAGCAGTGAGCTGCACCACTGGCTTGGGTGGTAAGGGGTCTGTAGGCTGCAAAGGCGCTGGGGACTGCTTCACTGACTTGCCTGGCGGAGCCCCAGCATCTCTCCCTCCAACCAGGCATTCTCGTTTCCCTGAAACTGTTCCCCTTGGAACGCTTCCCCTGTTACTGTTGCTAAGGCTGCAGTGTGCTTCTGGAGCCTCTGGGGACACTCTTTAGCCATGTGCCGTGCACTGTCACAGATGTAACACTTCCTGGTCCCTCTAGGAGGCTTCGCTTTGACTGCTCCGGACGCTGAGGCTCCGGCAGCTGTCTGAGCCTTTGCACCACCCAGTTCCATTGGTTCTTCCCCCCCTGCCAGCACAGGCGAAAGGTTTGAACGTTCCAGGTCCCTGGAAGGAAAAGGAGGCGCTCTAGCTGGTGGGCGGACGTGACGCCCCTCCTCCCTGTGCCAAGGGCGTTCTTCGTGGCGCACCCCTATCGTGAGTGCCCTCTGCACGACGTCTGCTAGGGTTTGAGGTCTGTCTCCCCTAGCCAGCTCATCTTTCACTGAGCCATGAAGCCCTTCCCAGAACAAGTCCCTCACTGCCAAGGAGTCCTTTTCCCAGCCCAGCACATTCAGCAATGCAAAAAAGCGAGAATGGTACTGACGCACTGTAGCCTTGCCCTGCCGCAATCCATGCATCTCCTGGCGTGCCACATCAACGTCAACGGTAGATTGGAAGCAAGCGTCCATGGCTTTGAGAAATTCATCAGAGTCCCTGCGTGCAAGACCATCTTCGCGCCACAAATTGCGTAACCAGGTTCTTGCTTCCCCATGCAAATGGGACACAATAAAACCTACTTTTTCCTCCTCATCTTTGAAGTCTTTTCGAAGCAAATGCAGCGCGTATACGACGTCTGCTCTGAAATTGGGATAATGCTTCAGGTTCCCATCGAAGTGGGCTACTAAATTGCCCCCTCTCCGTCCGAGTCCGATTCCCTCTGATCTGGACCCCGGGAACCCCTCTCTGCACGCCCGATCCCACCTGGCTTGCAGATCCTGGCATCGCGCTTCTGCTTCGGCAACCGTCTTCTGAGAGACCACGACGGCAGTGGAGAGCTCGGTGACTGCGTTTTGCAGGGACGCTATCTGCTCCTCAGTAGTCATCGCTGCCAAACTTCGTGAGCTTTGCAAAAAAAATTTTTGCGGTTCTTTTGAGAGGGGACTTACTGTCAAGGCTGCCTCAAGTCTCAGCTCACAAAAGACCAACGCCTATGTCTTCTTATATACAAAGGTGTTTATTGCAGTTCATTGTTTGCTTGACATCCTAGGCGCGCAGCCTTACGTCTCTTACGCTTAGACCGCTGAAGTCCCCTCTGAATCCGTCCCTCCCCTGCACCAATTTAAGAGGCTTGCGCTGCTCCACCTCTTTCTCTCCTTCCTTTTCCGCAGGGTCCTTCTGCCCGCTGGGGTTTCGCCCCTCCTGGATTCCTCTGACGCGGAATCAGACTGCTCTTCCCCCTCCTGCGGGCTTTGGGACCTGGCCCCTCCTCCGGGCTCCCTGTACTTCCGCGCGCCTCTACATTTGAACTAGGCGCGCGCGCCAAACCTCTAACTTTCCTTTTGACAGTTACACTACTCCCTTCACTGCTCCCCTCCCCTTCCGGGAGGGCGGCTTGCTCTGACCTCCCTCCTTTCTCTGCTGCCGGAGCTGCTTCCTCTGACACACTGGAAACTCCACCCCCTTCGCTGCACTCTGGTGGGGAGGCTGGTCCTGACGCCCAGCTGCCACTTTGGGATCCTCCGCTGGCCCCCTGCTCCTGACACGTCCCCCCTGGGGCTCCTGGCCTTGACCACCGGCGCCCCTTCTGGGAATCCTCTGATTCGCTGGAAAGACTCATGGAATCTCTTGAGTCATTGTCATCCTCTTCCTCGCTGGCTTGGAATTCATCCCCATCGCTCTCCATCTCCTGCCTACCCTGTCCCTCTCTCCCTGAACCCCTGACAATATGCAAAATTAAAAACATAAATTATGGGGGCAAAGCTATGACAAAATCATCTCAGATAAGCAACTGAGAATGCAGCAGGTCTCCCTCCCTGCTGGACTCACCTACATGAATTCCCCAACACCAGCTCAGCCAAAGATATGCCAATGTGTAAGTCCCCCCCCCCCTGGGGTGGGACCAGAAAGGGGAGATCCTACGCTTGTTCCGCTTGGTCATGTGACCTGGGAACCCAAATTAGAGCGCTGTTTTAAAGGCTCGTTTCCCCTCTGCCTGGTTTAGGCAGAGCAGCAGCTGTAGCCCCTGTAGACTTCAGTCTTGTGTAATTTTATACCCTCCAACATTTCTCAGATGAAAATAGGGACGTCCTATTCAACAACAACGGACACAGGTGGCGCTGTGGGTTAAACCACAGAGCCTAGGGCTTGCTGATCAGAAGGTCGGCGGTTTGAATCCCCGCGACGGGGTGAGCTCCCGTTGCTCGGTCCCTGCTCCTGCCAACCTAGCAGTTCGAAAGCACGTCAAAGTACAAGTAGATAAGTAGGTACCACTCCAGCGGGGAGGTAAACGGTGTTTCCGTGCGCTGCACAGGTTCACCAGAAGCGGCTTAGTCATGCTGACCACATGACCCGGAAGCTGTACGCTGGCTCCCTCAGCCAATAAAGCGGGATGAGTGCCGCAACCCCAGAGTCGGCCACGACTGGACCTAATGGTCAGGGGTCCCTTACCTTTTTATTCAGCAACAACAACAACATTTATACCCTGCCCATCTGACTGGGTTGCTCCAGCCACTCTGGGTGACTTGCAACATATTGTTATAAGAAAAAACTGCTCCTTTTCCCTTATGGGGTATCCAAGAGCCTGTACAGAGTCCTTACGTGGGTTCCCTATTGGCAGGAGAAAATAACAGAGGTCAACCAAAATATATTGAGAAGCAAAGTGGCTAGTAAGCCTGATCTTTATTAACTGATGCAACAGGGTTCCCACTCACCACACACAGGAGGGAGGAGAGAACCCTGAACAATGGTACTCAAGCTCTTATATAGACTTTTGAAATTTCCCACCCTGTAGCCCATGACCACCCCGCTGAAACATCATACATACATCACAGAAGGAGGCAGTATACAGCAGAGGAGGCAGTCTACAGCAGAAATCCTGTTTGCCAGGATACCTGATAATGCACTGATTGCATTACCTGGGCAGTCTGGCCATTCTTTCGTGATGATTAATACTTTACTTCCTGAATGCAGGTCACAGGCTCACCCTATTCATACACAAATATGCCCTTAAGACAGGATATGTGAGCAAAAGACAATGGGCTTTCCCATTTCCTTGTTCCTTGCAGAGGAATATATTGAGGTCAATTTGGGAGAGTCAAAATGGCTTCAGGATTGCTCTCCTGTACTATTTCAGACCTTAGGATTCTCATAACAATATATAAAAACATAATAAAACATTCAACATATATATATATATATATATATATATATATATATATATATATAACCCTTCCCCTTACAGAGCTGCCTTCAGATGGCTTGGGGCGATCAGATACACTGGCTTAAATTATGCTATCTTGCTTTGCACCAGTTTCCTGCACATAGGATTGCTCCCTAAACCTCAAACATTTGGAAACTTCAGAAATTTAAAGCACCAGTTCTTTTTTTATTTATTTTTAAACCACCAGAGAAGCATTCATGATGCAAAAGCCTGCTGAGGGGGAAAATGGTTATGAACCAAGCTTCTGAAACTAAGCAGGGGCACTGAATGAATCACTGCTAGTATACGGGAGTTTCCACAGAATTTGGCCTAGTTTATCTTTTTTTAAAAAAATGCACCTCAAAAATAATTTTCAAAGCAATTTCACTCACCGCAACAGACAAACGCAAAAGCAACAACACAGGTCTAACCCTACCATTTGAGACGTAGGAGGGGTATTTCTTGGCTATGCTATCATTTTGTGAGTTTCCTGTCCCAACAGTTTAGCAGTCCTAAGAAGACATTTCAGGGAAATTAATAGCCAAGGACAACCCGATGCTTGAAAAATCAATGTGTGTTGTATTCAAAGGGTGTCTAGTACAGTCAATTCCTGTTCTTGGATGCCTCACAAATATTATTATTGTTTTCAAGACGGCTGAGAGCCAGTTTTACTGGAGAAAGAAGTGTGCTTTGTTGAAAGAAAAGGAAAAAATAAAAGAGAACAATTTGTCTTGTTCTGGCCAAACATATTGATCAGCTGTGCAATGCTTGAATTAAATGAACCTCAGGTAGCGTTAGAGCGAAGAAGAGCCCGGTTGGATTCCATCAGTAGCCCATCTTCTCCAGAATCTTCTTCTTGTTGTGCTTTACCTACCAGATGCCTTTGAGAAGTCCACAAGGAGGAGGACCTGAGTACAACTGTACTCTCACTCCTTGTAATTGCGTGGCACGTTCCCGCCGCCCCCAGTGGAAATAAAGACACATGACACAATTATTAAGGTTAATGGGCTAAATAAGGCCACAACTTTATTGGTTACAGGTGATGAGCGGTATTGGCTTAGGCATTGGTCCTAACCGACTATATCTGACTCCAGCCCGTCCGCTTGAAGTCCGGGAAGGGTTAACCACCAATAGGGGGAGTCCTGCTAATGCACATCAACTAGGAACTCCCCCGGGGTCACCACTCGGGGGCGTGCCTTAGGCTCTCACCTCCATAGGCTTCGGACAGGGCCACGCCCCCTGGAATCCTTTATCGGACTACCCTTCAATATGTGGGGCAGGTAATGGCACTACCTCCTCTCTTCCATCTACAGAACAATACCAATGCCTAACCGCTAATACCCAGAAAGTTATGACTATTTGCTACGAGGTAAGCGAAAACCAAGTGGCTGGTGCCAATTTGCCAAGTGGAAAAATTCCTACCAGGCCCCTCAACAGCGACCAGTCAAGGTCCATAGCAAGGTCAAGGAATGAAAACATTATTATTATTATTTTTTATAATAATTTTTTATTAAAGTTTAAAACAACAAAA